GAACTGTAACTTATGCTGTTGTCGGGGCAATAAGGTACCTTCTCCTCCAATCAGCGAGCTCGCCTCCAATTCCAGAAACCAGCGGGATCTAATCCTGCGTCCCCAATGCTGCAAGGGGCGGGCTTCCTGTCTACGGGCCCGCCTCCGTGTGAATGTGTCCTGTGCTCCGTGTGAATGTCGTGTTGCGTTATGTCTGTAATGTTATTGTGGATGGACGATGGGATGTGTAGTTTAGATGTCGATGGGTGACAACCGTCTCTAATCACCGGATAACATAGACGCCGGCACTCCAAGTGATGAAGCAATGGCGTCCGTTTATTGACGCACGAGACACAGCACAACGCATCAGAAAGCAACGTTTCGGGGTGTCACAGGATCCCCTTCATCAGGCAAAATGAGTACCCCCGGGCCCCGGAGTGCGCGTCTGTCCCCCCGGGCCCCGGAGTGCGGGGGTCACGCAGCCCGTGTGATATTTATTAGGTGTACATAGGACTCTGTTACTCATTATGTGACCTTCACTCAGCTGTATGTTGGCCGGCGGCACACGGGGGGGAGGGGACATGCGCCGTGCCGGGTGACTCGGAGGTTCTCTTAGAAATAAAGGTCAGAATGCTCTGCCATGCTCATCCTCTGCCCTCAGTTGTTGCATATTTGGCAGTATTGAAGCCAAAGGATGAGCAGGGCGGCCAGGGAGCGGAGATAGAAGGGGGAAGGGCGGCACATGTGGATACTCCAACCTGGAAATCGCTGCTTCCTGGTGTCTGCACAGCCCCCCCAACCTCCCTATTGGCTGCTGAGGGATCCAATGGAAAGGGGTGCAAATGCCTACACAGGCGAAGGGGGTGGAACCCCCCCCCCCCCCCACAATGCGCCCCCCCCGTAACAGTACGGAGAACCGCAAAATATGTTGAGCAGGACCATAAACTAACACTAGCCGCACTCCCTATTCACTAACACTAGCCGCACTCCCTATTCACTAACACTAGCCGCACTCCCTATTCACTAACACTAGCCGCACTCCCTATTCACTAACACTAGCCGCACTCCCTATTCACTAACACTAGCCGCACTCCCTATTCACTAACTGGTTAAATGATCCGTAGTACAATGGCATGTTATGGATCATGATGGAACCTATTCATGTTAGGAGGGGAGAATTGTAACTCTAGTGGTGGAGCTGTGTGCTGTATATATGTACTACATACTACACATACATGACACACGTCCAGTACACTATAGCAATAGATTTACAGCCAGCCCCTTCCCAGCTTCCCTCACTCCCAGTTTCACTCCGATCTCTGTCGCCTCACGCGGTGCCTCTCGTAGTCGGCGCCGGGCAGGATCGCTGCATCGCGCCTCGGTGCTCAGCTTGTGGGAGGCGCTCACAATTCTGCCCTGCTGACATGAAGGGGTTAAATCATGATCCACAGTACATATACAGCACACACGTCCCGTACACTGCAGCAATAGATTTACAATTCTGCTCGGCTAATATGAAGGGGTTAAATGATCCGTAGTACAGCTACATGTTATGTACTATGGATCTTTTAACCCCTTCATGTTAGCCGAGGATTATTGTGAATCTATTGCTGCAGTGTATTGGGAACGTGTACTGTATAGATGTACTACATATAGGATACACTGCAGCAATAGAGTCACTATTATCCCCTGCTAACATGAAGGGGTTAAATGATCCGTAGTGCAACTACATGTTATGTACTACGGATAATTTAACCCCTTCATGTTAGCCGGGGAGAATTGTAACTCTATGACTGCAGTGTACTCTATATGTAGTACATGTACGTTACACACGTCCAGTACACTACAGCAATAGATTTATAATTCTGCACTGCTAACATGAAGGGGTTAAAAGATCCATAGTACATAATATGTAGCTGTACTACGGATCATTTAACCCCTTCTTTTAGCTGGCCGGCGACTGCCTGAGGTGCCGCGCGTGTTGGGGTCCTCTGGACAGTCGCCGGCCAGCTAAATTAGGACCCCGCCTGGAGCTCCTCCCACCGGACCAGCGCTCTCCCGCGCCGAAGGTAAGTGAAGAAAAAAAAAACACCGCAAGCGTTGGAGCATTTGTACGAGTACTTGTCACAATGCCCTTTTTTTTCCGCCCTCAGGCGGCCGCTTGCCTTGCGGTAGCGCCGGGCATGATGTTCTATTACCCCCCCCCCCCCCCCCCCGTGGCACCAAACCCCACCCCCCCCGCCCGCTCCTTCTTGCAATGCCTCATGGGACTTGTAGTTCCACACTAGCTGGAGTGCCGAGGTAGCCTACCCCTGACAAGTCCCATGCGGCATTGCAAGAGTCTAAGCCATTTCCCAGAGACAGATGCATGATGGGAGTTGTAGTTTCTAGAATTACAGCCGCTATTCCTGTGTTTTGGGAGATGGCACCAGCTCTTCATTCTGGGAGAGGCTGGTCGGGCATGCTGGGAATTGTAGTCCCTCAGCATGTGATGTGAACTGTCACTGCACCTACTCCAGTGAAAGGGACCCGGCCACCGCACACACCACCCCACCCCCGACTCCTGCGCGGTCTTCTATCCCAGGGCAGAGCTCGGCAGCACCGGATGGGAATGGGCCGAGGTGACGGGTTCCCCTTTGTCCCAATCTCTCCATTTATAGTAAGCAGGTGCATGTCCCCTCCCCCACCCCCGTCACATGGCAGTGATACCATCACACAGGGTGCAGCGTCATGGCCGCCCGCCAGTCCCGGGGCACAGAACTCGCACTCGGCACTTTATTAGAACAAGTCTGTACAGAGAAACATGAGACAGCAAAGTGACATTTATATCCCGGGAGACGCCGGCCCT